GACGCCTTGGGCTGGGACCGTTGGGCTGGGACTCTTTGGGTTGGGACCCTAGGGTTGGGACCCTTTGGGTTGGGACTCTTTGGGTTGGGACCCTTGGGTTGGGCCCCTTTGGGTTGGGACCCTTCGGTTGGGACCCTTGGGTTGGGCCCCTTTGGGTTGGGACCCTTCGGTTGGGACCCTTGGGTTGGGCCCCTTTGGGTTGGGACCCTTCGGTTGGGACCCTTGGGTTGGGCCCCTTTGGGTTGGGACCCTTCGGTTGGGACCCTTGGGTTGGGCCCCTTTGGGTTGGGACCCTTCGGTTGGGACCCTTGGGTTGGGCCCCTTTGGGTTGGGACCCTTCGGTTGGGACCCTTGGGTTGGGCCCCTTTGGGTTGGGACCCTTCGGTTGGGACCCTTGGGTTGGGACCCTTTGGGTTGGGACTCTTTGGGTTGGGACCCTTGGGCTGGGACCCCCTGGGTTGGGACCCCCTGCGTTGGGACCATTTGGGTTGGGACTCTTGGGTTGGGACCCCTGGGCTGGGACCCTTGGGTTCGGATCCTTTGGGTTGGGACCCTTGGACTGAGACCCTCGAGCTGTGACCCTTGGGTTGGGACCCTTGGATTGGGACCCTTGGGTTGGAACCCCCTGGGCTGGAACCCCTGGGTTGGGAGCCTTTGGGTTGGGAACCTTGGCCTGAGACCCTTGGGTTGGGACCCTTAGTTGGGACCCTTGGGCTGGGACCCTTGGGTTGGGACCCTTGGGTTGGGACCCTTAGGCTGAGACCCTTGGGTTGGGACCCTTGGGTTGAGAACTCTTGGGTTGGGACCTTTGGGCTGAGACCCTCGATCTGTGACCCTTGGGTTGGGACCCTTGGGTTGGGACCCTTGGGCTGAGACCTTTGGGTTGGGACCCCTGGGCTGGAACCCTTGGGTTGGGACCCCCTGGGCTGAGACCCTTGGCCTGGGACCCCTTGGGTTGGGACCGTTGGGTTGGGAACCCTTGGGCTGGGACTTCAGGGGCTGGAAGTACCTATGGGGAGGTATCTGAGGGTACTTCAGATGCTGTGGTATCTCCTGGAGGCATCTGAGGGCACTTTAGGTACTGGAGGTTCCTCCTGAAGGCATCTGAGGGCACTTGAGGCACCAGAGG